CCCTTGGGCATCTTAATATGGCACTAAATAGTTAGCTTGCAGCATTTTACACTTGACATTTAACACTTTAAACGCTCCATTTGTTGTAAGCTGACTTCTGATAATTCATTTGTATTCCCAGCTGGTTTTCTTGCTATTTGTCATCTGGGCTGGCGGCATGTTCTAGTTGAGAAATATTTTTATTTATTATTATGATAATGGTTTCTGTCAGTTTTGAAGCGTTGGAATATAAAATAATTAACCCTAAAATAATTTAACAATAATTTACAAATAATTGAACAAGGGACTTAGCTCCAGCTCAACCACAGTTGTTATTATTATAATTTAACTCTGAGCCAGTCAAGACAACGTGTAGATAGATGTGAGTTGTAAGTCTCCCTAAATAAAGCACATACTGATAAAAAACGTGATAAGTCCAAAGATCTTATATTCAATTTTAATAATTTTCGCATTGTTTTTCGTCCATTGCTGTTTTTATTTTTATACCCTTGCAGTGGGTAAATTGATTTCAATCAGAAGTTTTCAACGCATTATCGACCACAATAACTAGACGAGTCGATCTAGACATTTTTATACCATACTTATTTCTATAGCAGATAGTATATAAGTCTCATAGGAATGATAATTTAAAAAAATTTTAAAAATATTATAGTCTTGGTGTCTTTGACATATTAACTTCTTCTCGTAGGAATAACATTCTTTAAATATTTTAGAACTTCGGATTCAATTCTTAAAATCCGGACGACTATATAATAATTATAGCTTTTTATTTTTGATCATATTCTTTTCTACTATATCAAAGGCTGCGTTCAGCAGTACAACATGATAACTGATTACTGATCCATCAGTAATTAATGCGATCAAGTTTGTTCTGCTGAACGCTCATGATTACTAATCATGATGCAAGACGCAAATAGTTGCCATTGGAAACATCGGAAAATTAATGTAAAAATAATACAAAAAACCGTTCAATTTCGTTTTCAGTAAAACATAGACGCTTGTTAATTAAAATGGAAAATTATCTTAGTATTTATTTTATTATTTTTTAGTTTTCTATAAGTCGGAAAACTCTGTATATATATTGCTAACATAGAAACGACCTGCAAAGGTATATCAAATTCGGCTTGCCAAAGTTAGATTTTTTCTTATTCTCTTCTTAAATGGATAAAATAAATTCAACAATTATAGGTAATTCATAATTTGTTAGCCTGAATTTTAATTTAAAGTCCTTTTTATAATATCGTAAGGTTGTTAAGATAAATATGACTAACATCGTTTTTAATATTTACTGCATGGTTAAATCATGCAATTTACAAGGTTTTTAAAATTAATTTGAATATTTAATGGGAAATATTACATTAGATATTTACTTTTACTATTTCAATTATTAAACTGTGCTCGTATTAGAGGGAAAAACAACTCAAGCCCTGCCACCGGACCAGGCCAACTGCATCATGAGTTAGGGCTAGTGATTCCTAATCTAGTTCGGAGCGCCGTTGAATCATCGTGTCTTGGATCTGATATTAATGGCTGGCTGCCCCAAACATCAATGACTAACCATATAGCCACCCATGCCACCCCGCTTCAATCGTACCAATCGGACGCTCAATCATCCAATCCCAATCCCATCCCCATCCCCCTGCCCATGTAGCCGTTGTCGGTTTGCCAAACGCGGGGGCGACGTGTGTCAATAGCCCGCTCAGCACTGGAATCCGAACGGAACGGAGCGCTCCAGCGGAGCAGCGCTGGAAGCAGCGTTCCCAGCGGCGCACGCGACACTTGTTGACACATTGGGTCCGCTGCCGCGTTGGCGTCGTTGGCACGCGATAAAGTTCGCGGCTCGCGCTCCATCAATTAGTCATAGAACGGGTCTACGGGTCTGGGAATGGGTCACATGGATGGGGCCTACGATTGGCGGCGGGAGGGGGCTGCTAAATGCTAATTACAGATCGGCCGGCGACGGACGATAAGCGGGGCGATTTCAATTATATAGCCACCACGCATTAATATTAATATCGTCGATAATAATCCGGCGAAGGCGTAGCATTAGCCGTGCGATTTGTAGGCATCAAGGTATCTGAGTATCAGGGTACTAGGGTATTAGGGTATCAGTGTGTCGTTTGTGAATTATCGATTGTTTGCCCTGGAACCGAAACTGATAACTCATAGCAAATGGCAATTACAGCGAAATTCGCAATTGGCCGAGGGTCTTGTAGGGGGCTCGCCAACGTCACAGAACATGACACCTACGTCAGCGGGGTGCCAAATGCCAAGGGCTAAATTTAGCGCCAGGTGCTAAGCTGGACTGAGCCGATTGGGTTAATTGGATGCGTTGGAATGGGGATACATGGCGAAAATAATATGGGCATTAGTTGGGATGAGCCAAGGTAATTACGATTATCCTTGAGACTACGCAATGGGTCGGTAAAAATGCAAAGATGTCTTATCTTAAACAACTAAATCGAATTATTTTACATGTATTAAGTAAGTATTAAGTAATTACTATTATTGGCCACGCTCTTTATATCACCGATATGAAAACCAAATAAGGATCCAAGTAACTGATATATAAGACGCTTGACTGATTAAATTCTTGGCCGCTATCTTTGTTCACACAACTACGAGATACAACTTCTCAGAGGGGCTAGATTCACCAATTGTTCCCTGTGCAGCAACCTCCGGCTGAAGAACTGCCGGTGAGTCAGCCCATTCATGTGTCCGGCCAATGCAAAGTGCCCCAGTTGAGAGACGACCGACTGAATGGAGTGGTATGGTACTATATGATATATGGTATATGATATGTGGTATATGGTATATGGTATTTGGTATATGTGTATCGCAGTATCACAGCAGTATTTGGGGATCTGGGTTGGTGGGGGCGTCGCGACGACAGTCTTGATTATTCATTCATGGAACGGCATTAGTCAACACCCACCGAAGACAATTGGCTGGGAGGTGAACTCCCTGCCCGACGCTGCCTCAAAGTTCAGCCTGTGACGACGCATGGCGATAAGAGTTCAGTGGAAAAGTTGGCTCAATTACTGGTAACCGGCGTTGAATCAAAACCTTTGCCTGCCGCCCAATGTATCGTAATGAGGCCCAGTCCATTAAAATTAGACCACAGTGGGCCGCAGACGGCCCAAAAAGGCCCAGCCCATCGATCTATCCACTGGTCGGGCGACAGTCCAATGCCACCCCACTGTGGCTGTAAACTTTTCCACGGGACCATATCGCTATCGGGTCCTACAAAAACGCGTCATCGACGGTCTCAAGACCCCAGAAATTTGGCACAATTTCGAGGACGTCAGCATGTCATGTTTTGATTTGCAGGCGTGCAAACGATTTCGACACGAGGGATAATGTTTCGATTTGATCGCCGATGAGTTAGGGGGCAAAGATCACCCGATTGGGGACCGCGATATCACGTATAACATATCTGACGGTTTATCAGGGGGCCCGGTTGGCAGATACCATCCATTGAAGGTTCGCAGATCGTAAATCATAGCGGCGATCTCGTCTAGATACTGGAGCGGGCCAAGAAACTGGACTACAAAAAGCTATCGCCGAGCCATGGGAGAGTCCATTCCCAGTTCGATGGCCAGCTAACAGCCAGCCAATGTGCGTCAGTTGGTTTTGCTTTGGGCAGATGATCTAATTACCGATCAGATTTGATCGTACTCTTCGCGGCCAGCGGAAAGTTCCGCAGTGAAATACGTGACAGAAAATGGGAACGTGATGGCCTTGTGAGTGTGAATGGGCTGCAATCCAAGTCAGAACTTAAGAATTTCGGGAACTAGTCCTAATGTCTTCTAATAAGTCTGAGTCGCTTGAGATTAATGTAAGCAAATGCAATGATATGTGATAATATGGTTAAGAGTAGGAATATATAAGGAAATATGATTATAATAAAGTCCTTTCAGTAAAAATAGTTTTCTTGGTTTTGTTTATACAACTCCCTAGGATTTCTCAACTTGTATGCTCCCATTGGATTCCTAAAAAGCGTTTCAAAACCAAGGCTCTAACTTTCGTTCAGAAGTCCATTGGGGGTAAGTCAACCTGTTTGGGGCACATAGACCGTTGTCACCGGTTCCATCTCAAGAGTCTGTGAAAGGGGGCTTCAAACGGGGGGCCCGAGGAGGGGCCAAATGTGGCACACGTGGACCCAGAGATCTCTCCAAGATTTCCCATGGCCTCTCGGTCGCAACCGAAAAAAATCCCCCGTATTTGAAAAACATGAGTTTTGAACCCGGTCCGCAATCAATGCAATTAATTTCGCATTGATGGCCCCCCGAAAAAACTAGCCCCGCCACGCCCACCCCCCCAGAGACCCACAGTGAGGGGGGCTTGTGACGCAAACAAAAACCTCAATGGCAGACAAACAAAGTGAAGGTGTACATAATGAGACACATGGACGCGGCACACGTACGCACACTGCCCCGGCCGAAAGAAAAATCCCCCTGGCAAAGAGTTGTGTGGGAGCCTCTGGCGGGGGGTGGCGAGGGTTCGAAGAGGGTTCGGGGAGGGTTCAGTGAGGGTTCAGTTCAGGTGGGGTGGCGCAGCGCCCAACTACATACGTAATTGATGAAAAGTAAATATAAAAATAAATATAAGTGTGAATGGGGGAGCACTGCCGCTGCCGCTGCCGCTGTCGCAGCCGCTGCCTCTGCCGCCGTCGCTGCCTCGGCAATCATCGAATCAAATCCAATAACAATTATAAGCGTGCCGCGCACTTCTGACTCCGATTTCGATTCCGATTCCGATTCTTTCGCACGACGGCACTTCGTCGACTCCATTGACGTCGACGGCGCTGCCGCCGCTCTGCCGGGCAGATAGCAATAGCAGGAGCACCAGCGGTATGTCGACTGCGGCAGCGGCAGCGGCAGCGACTGGGGCTGCCCCACAGGCGGCCGGCGATTTTCGTATAAATATAAAATTATGCGACGACCCGAGACCATGAATCAGTTTCGCTTAGACACACGCCAATGCTAATTGTCCCGGTTTGTGTTTGTGAACCACCCATCAATCCGCGAACAACAATCACTACAAACATTCCGAGCATAACCCAGCGGATCCGAGACAGTCCTGACCACTGATCTCCCCAACCATCATCCAGTACACACATCAGTATTATTTACACACACACAGTATTCCATTACCATGGATGGTGCCAAAATAGAACGTGATCCGGCCCCGAAAATGCGACATCACAGTAAGTAGGGGGGTCCAAAGTCCGGGGCATTCTAGTTCGGCAATTAGATCACCGCTTTCCCAAGATAACTTTCCCCGTCTTTCGCAATTGTTTATAAAAAGATGATAGGCTGGCTATGACTACGGCACGGCTACGGCTACGGCTACCCCATTACGGAATACCCTCGATCGGTTCCCATGATTAATGCTGTGTTTGACTAGTGTGCTAGTGTCTTCTGTCTCACGTGGTGAATCCCCTTTCCGGACGGCGAGTGATCGAACTGTTAATAATCGGCTTCGACGCTGATGCCAATGCTTTTAAATGGCAAGGTGGAGTGTGGATGGTGGAGGTGGATGGTGGAAGGTGCGTTGAGGCCACCTACTTACCTCCAAGAGCAGCTCCATTAAAGTTTGCCACAGAAACCCTCTATAGAAAATACTACAACCAAACTTTTGAATTCAAAGGGGATTTATCAGAAATGAACAGTATCCACGTTTTCCAATTAAATACATTCCATTGGTATCCCATCAAAGATCCTTAACATGGAGTATTACAAGGCAGTGCTAATAGTTTACCTCAAAACAAGTATACTCCTTTAGTATCCCATCAAAGTTAGTTAAGATAGAGTTTTACAAGGTATTACTTAACAGTTACCTCTTCAGTCAAATATATTTGATTGGTATCCCACATCAAAGTTTGTTATCATAGAATTCTACAGGACAGTACTTAAAGTGTTCCCCAAATCAAAGATATTCCAATGGTATCCCATTTAAGCTAGTAAACATGGAGCTTTACAAGGTAGTACTTAACAATTTCCCCAGATAAATAGAATCAGTTTAATCAATGAACTCGTTGGGATTGTTCATTCAGAACACGCCTTTTATAACCCTGATAGCTCCCGATTGCTCTTGATTTACTCCGGTCCGGCTATCTCTCGAGATCCCTCACATGACCACCCCAATCGCTCGCGTGCAATCCTCTCCAGCTGCGATCTAATCGTCGATCGGCTCACATGAGTTCCTGTTGGACTGCGGGATCGACTCAGGCTATAAGCAGCTATGAGATAAGGACACTATCCACTTTCGCTGGCCGAGATCGTAAAGCGGTCTTGGGGCATTAATCACCGGAATCGAAATCGGAATCGGGCCAACAACCAGAACTTTCCAATATCTCGATTACCGGCCAATTAGCGATTATGGCCTTGGCCAGCTGATCGCCGGGCCAGCAGCAACAACAACTAGCCGGGCAGCACGTGCCTTCGCAGTCGTCGTTGCCGTTGCCGTTGCCGTTGCCGTTGCAGTCGCAGTCGCAGTCGCCGGTCGGCAGCGCAGTCGACGTCGATTGGGCAGCGTTATCAAGTCGCTGACCTACGGCAATGCGCCGTCGAGTCGAGCGGAGCAGAGCGGCTGGCGACTATTGGTCGAGAGCGGCTCGAGCGGGAATCTGAATTATTCAAAAGTCGAGCGGTCGGGCTGGCTGGTGGGCGGCCAGGTGCCAGGTGCCAGCGGCCTGCTACGTCACCGTTGGCCGCAGACTCCGCCGACGACGTCTGGGAAGCGTCTGGTGGCGAAAAAAAACCCAAATACCTATGAGTAATCTTTCTGGTGAAATTCAGCCAAAAGCGGAGAGGCGGCCGGCGAGAGCGAGAGCCAAAGAGTCGCGGAGCCACGGAGCGTGACAAATGCTCAAAACAATTTCGAAAAATTGCTCAAGGCCCGATCGGCAGGCAGGCTGCTGTAATTGCACTCACTCGACTCTCTCGCCGCCGATCGATTTTGCCTGGGATTGGGCTGGTAGGTTGAGATACTGAGATACTGAGATACTGAGGCATTGAGTGCGTGAGCGGCTGGCAGCTGGCGGCGGCTGGCGGCTTACAAATCTTCCAGCGCCGCTGCAGCGGCAGTCACTTAGCCAGCAGCCGTCGAGCAGGAGAGACCGTGGAGTGAGCAGCTCGCAGTCAGCCAGCCAGCTAGCCAGTTAGTTAGCCAGTTAGCCAAGTTAGTTAGTGTTAGTGATAGTGATAGGCGCGAGAGTGCGTGCCACCGGACCACCAATGCCAGCCTTTACCTTAAACGGTACGCCCGGGATTTCCCCCAGCTGCAACGTGACCAGCCCCCCACTAACGCACACCCCTCTCCCCTTTCTCTATTTCCCCACAGTCAGCAGCCAGCAGAGCCAAAGCAGCAGCAGCAGCAGCAGCAGCAGGAGCAGCACACACAGCAGCCAGTGGAGCTGCCACAGTCGCCAGTTGCTGCTGGTCATCATGATCCTGGCCGCCGTGATGCCACCAAACACCCAGGCCCGCCATCTGCGGGACAAGGTGGCACTGGACTACGCCTACGACGAGGACAACTCCGGACGTTCCTCATCCTCGTCGGCCGGCGACATCCTGCCCGCCTTCGATGTGAACCCTTACCGCGGCCTGGCCGAGAGCTTTGGCGAGGGCAGCTACGACAGCGACCTCAGCCTGAGCGAGAGCAGCTACGAGGAGATCGCCCAGGCGGCGATCCGGGCCGCCAGGCGGGAGATGCGCCGCCAGAGGACGCGGCACGCCCGCAGCCACAACCTGCGGCTGTTCGCCAGCAAGTCGGATGTGCCGGAGTGGGAGAATCCCTGCGGCGGCACCTACACGGCGGACGAGAGCCTGAGCGACAGCAGTGCCAGCCAAGGACGGGTGATCAAGCGCAAGGTGAGCAGGGGAGCTAGCTTTAAAGGGGGTTCCACTTGGGGGATACCCTCAGACATTAAAGGGTTCAGGGTTCAGCTGCTTAACCAGAGCAGCCAGCGTGTTTTGTCACTCCGCCAAGAAGCATTACTCATCGTTTCCCCCTTTCCCTCCTCCCCTTGCAGCACCTCGAAAACCTGCGGAACATCACGATGAGCGAGTACCAAGACATTACCCACCGCGCCACGCTGGAGTACGGCAACCATCAGCACTGGCAGCGCGAGTACAAGTTCCTGCCGAACATGACGAAGCCCACGAGCGCGGTAAGTTGAGAGATGGCCAAAACAGAGACTGCCACTGAGATGGAGGCCGAGACAGAGCGAAGCGGACCTGCTCCGCCCTGGGCGGCGCAGACCAGTTTCCCCTGTCGGCCCGCCTCATTTGCATGCCCTTCCCAGTTCCCACTTCCCAGTTGCCAACTTCTTGGCTAACCAACTAAAGAACCAAATAACTAAAGAACCATCTCTTTTGCAGGTGAAGCTCAAGACCTGGTACCGCCACATGCAGACCTTCGTGGGCAGCTTCTCGTATCTGGGCCGGGCGCAGTACAAGTTCCGCAAGGACCAGCAGAAGAGCATCAACGAGGCGGTCACCAAGGAGCTGCACGACCTCCTGGTCAGCGCCCGCTACATGCTCTGCGAGATCGAGTCGACCATCAACTCCTCCTACCCGAACAGCAATGGGGCCAAACTAAGCCGGGTGAGTCGCCAGGCGATGGAGGACCGCCTCAATTTCCATACGCCCGCCAATGGGTCGGCGGAGGCGGACCAGCGTGACCTCAAGGTCAGCAAGGAGCTGTACTTCCAGTACCTGGACAATGTGTGGAAGACGCTGCACCGTGTGCTGCGGCGACCGCGACGCAACAGCGGTGAGCGGCGCCACCTGGCAGCGGCGTCGGCGGCGGCGGGCCATGGAGCGGGAGCGGCAGCGAGCGGCCTGCGGGCGGGCAGCTCGGAAATGCTCGACCTGGGCTCCTCGAGCGGATCCGGAGGGAGTTCCGGCTCGGACGGCGGTTCCTCCGAGTCCTGAGCTGCGCCTGAGCCTGAGCCTGAGCCAGCCAACCGCGGCAACATCACGCCCTTCCAGTATTACAGCGAGTGCTGCACAGCTGCAACATTCCCAGCTTAGCAGCTTTTCCGCTCAGCAGCTTTCCAGCTTCCAAGCCAAATAGAGGACCACCACCCGACCACCCAACCGGGAGAGAACGAAGAATTTTTGTCGAATGCCATTTAGACACGTACTTTAGTATTTATTTATTTATTGAGAGCATCGAGTATTAGAGCGCCTTCCATTCCAGTTGCCAAACGGAACAACCCACTCCAATCCACAATCCACTCCATTTTCCCACTCCACCTCCATCTGGCCATTTGCCACCTCGACTATTTATTTCCCATTTAGAATATGCCTATTTTTTTCTCTATGTGTAGTAATTTATTTATTTATTTGTATATCAATATTGTATTTATACCAACTTATTTGTGAATGGCATGCTTGTCTTGCCAAGAAAAACCAACAAAAAACCAGCCACTTACAAAAAAATGATTAAATCTACTGTGATTTATTTTAAGTACTTTTTTTGAATAGTTCTTAGTGAATGTGAAAATCAATTGTGAATGAAAACGAAGCGAAGTATTGTACAGACATTCTTGTGCTTAGTTGTAAGTTTGTGCGAAATAAACTTAGAAAAGACAAACGGAACTTGTAATTCATTTGCGGGGCTTCAGGGGATTGTTTTTACATATATCCTCAGCTAAATAGATGTTCATTATATAAGCTGAGTAAAAGGAACAGGTGTCTGCTTGTTCGGTATGCTGAGGTCTTCTGCTATTTCCGAGCAAAAGCTTATCGAGCTATTTTTACCATTATCAACTCATGAATGAGTAACTAAACCCTCCACTAAATGTGAAGGCAAATAAAGAAATCTAACTTGGGCATGATTGATTTACCAGATATTCTGAAAAAAGTATTAGCCATACACCAACTCAAAAAGTTAATGTTATTTATAGGATACCTATCATGCGTTTTCTTATAGATATCCTATATCTAATAGATTGATGTACTTATTTTCTCGTTTGTAAATCCATGCCCCTCCTTAAAAAGTTTTCTTACATGGTCGGGGAAAAAATTATTATTAATATCATAGAAGTAATGTTGACAGAATATATTTGTTGTGTGCGAATAAATTAATTACTCCCTCGCGATTTTGATACAATACAATAAGTACAGTTACACTCAAATAGCATTCGGCCTCGAATTACAGAAATTTTGAGTCAATGCCGATTTTGTTAAATTTTTGAAACAATTCTTTTTAATTAGTGACTTTACTTATTTTAAGAAATAGAGTTTGTTAAAAAATTTCAGTTGAGTGTGGGGAAATGTTGTTAATGTTTTATGCTATTAATTTAACGACTTCTTGATGACTTGAAATTAAAAATTTCCCTACTTAATGCGACAGCCAAATCAATGCATTCAATTGTTTAAATATTCGCTCTCTCAGCTGAAATCAAACAGAAACACCTTCTAGCTAGCTAAAATGTTTTAACGGACTCAATTCCAACATATAAACACGAAAAAAGATGTTAGGCTACACCAACACAATTTAGCTTTTATATAGGCATTTTATATTGCCAAGCTCCAATTAAAAATTTATTTTGTTTTTCAAAAAGTCGTAGAACAATGCGGCAATCGAAGGAGCTTCGGATTCTATCTAATAAGTCGTCATTCGATGCGTACATTCAGAAAGAATAGCTCCAGTTTCCTAAGTTCTTACAAATGCTGCTTTTCGTCTCAAAAGTATTGAATTTATCAACATATTAAGGGGGTGCTAAACAAATTATTGGGGTTTCACTTTTAAATGTAATTTTAGAGTTTTAAAGGGATTGCCAAAGTTGCAAATTACTTTTCACCCACTAATTCTGAATTAAAATGAATCCCTCTTGTGTAAGCGAATACATAAAATGCTTTTAATGCACACAAGTTTTTCCTGTTATTATAAAATGATGGCATAACTTTATTGTTAACGTTGTACAAAATATAACCTTTTCTTTGCCTTACTAACTTAAAACTGAAATTTAAAAATCCTCTGCAAGAATATATGTATAAAGAAATTATCAGCCAGAAAGCTTGTGTAAAAATATCTAAGTATTCAGCGAGAAAACCGATAGCTAACCAATGGCATACTCTTACCACTTTTCGATTAGTATCCGTTAAAACTTAGTGTTCTTTGTTATAGCGAGGCAATTTCAGCCATAGGCGATATGAATTGATAGCCAGTCGATCGGTTCCCATTGGGCTTCATGAGGGCTCTCGACACTTCCGATCGGAAGCTGCCTATCGGGCAATTATTGGCCGTATCTCCTTTATGGCCCAATAAGTTGGCCACTCGACAGTCGTCCGCTTGCCCGATAGAGCCCCTTAACCCAAATACTCCACAAATGGTTTTGGAGTGGCGCCCCTCAAGCAGCCAAGAGGCACAGAGGATCGCTCGGTTTCCGTTTGCACTCCACGGAGGAATCAGCACGTCCGCTGCCCGCATTCCTTATCGAGGGCGGTCATCTTATCGCGTTAATCATGCCCGCGGCATTCGATGAATGCAGTCCGCGGCCGTTTAATTAACTTATTGAACGTATTGGCTTTGGCCAATCGGCCAGTGGGCATAGTCATAGTCACACTGTCTAGGCGGCCAACAGCCGTTGCCTTAGGTCGCACCGGAGGTGCATGCCAGTGGGTTTTCCGCCGCCCCCGCTTGCTGTGTATATAGGCGCATTACTCATACGACGCGTGGCCTCTGTCACGAACAATGGAGCGCCCCCTGCCGGCCACTTTGGAGCTGTCCGCGAGCGTTTGGTATTTGACGTCTGTTTGCCAGCGGCGAGCTTTTGCCAGCCCACACTGGGTGCCCAAGAGTATGCAACATTTCTTCGGCCACCGTAAAAGTATGCTACAATAAGGTACTCTCATAATAAAACTGATCAAAATATGGAGAAATTAAAATAAATTCAATGTCTTATGTTACATATTTGAAATAAATATAAAAAATAAAAATAAATAAAAATAAAATATAAAACTATCTAGTCTTTTAATTAAGCCTTCATTTGAAAATCTTCAGCAAATCCTTAACTTTTTCAAATCAGCTAACCTGCTTGAACTCATTTAATTTGTTAATCTCCTTCTCTTTCCATTCATTAGTAAAATTCTAGTTATTAAGTAAACCTGTAAGAACAGTTTAGTCCGACCGAAAGTCTTAGCACCTATGGCCGATTCCTCCCTGTACCTTAAGTTTTAAACTTTTGGCAACAGAGTACAATAAATAAATAAATATAAAAATTGCGCCGCAATTCAAGCACACAGACCAAGTAACTCAAGTATAAAACTTACTGACCCTTTAGTTAACCCTTCATTTTAAAATATCCAGCAAATCCTTATCTTTTAAAATCAGCTAACCTGCTTCAATTAATCTAAATTGTCAATCTTTTCCCATTCACACGTAAATACTAGATATTAAGTAAACTTGTAAATATCAATGAATTCCGGCCGAAAGTGCCAGCAACTATGGCTGATTCCTCCCTGTACCCTAAACTTTAAACTTTCGTCTACAGTGTACAATAAATAAATAAATATACAAATACTTCATGTAACACCAAACATTAAATTTATCATATACATATAAATTAAGTTAAACAACAGTAGATATGGTATTGGTCGTACTTGCTTTAAATATTGTGTGTCATTAAATGAAAGTGTACATATTTAAATTAACTATGAAGCAATTATTATTGAATACTATTCAAACAACACATTTCCTTTCAGTTTACACCCATGTTCGGGGATGTATCCCCCAAATCCCCCCTTGGATCCACTTATTGTTCAACCTATTTCCCCTAAAAATTGTATCAATGCTCTGCGAATTTATACCATGTCAGCTTTATGATATAGTCACAAGGATTTGTACCTATTGCTGACACGGCTGATTCAAATGAATTTTTGATTGTAGGACATAATATTCTGATTATTATAAGATAGAAGCCTAAATGATTGTTTAAAAATAAATGTTTTAAAAATTCTTTTTATAAGCATTCCAACTGTTAAAATGGACCTGGCCAGATCAATTCTGCTGCTGATGGTGATCAAGAAATTAGGTATATGCGTACATACTATAGTCGTAAGGATCTCCTTTACTGCGATCCCCTTTACTCGCAAAATTGTAATCCCCATTGCAAGGGTAACGAAAAACAAGGCATAACAAGAAAGGAACCTAACTTCGGCAAGCCGAAGTTTGTATACTCTTGCAGCTATAATTATTAAAATTAAAAATACAAAAAATCATATTCATTATTTGTCTGACCGATTTTTATTAAATTTAATTCGAAATTTCATAAAATACAAAAAATTATATTCTTAATAGTATAAGAAAACATGTCAAAAAACACCGAAGCTATAATTTGTTTCATACATTTTTCCACCAATTTTCCGATCGTTCCTATGGCAGCTATATGATATAGTCGTCCGGTTTTGATAAAACTAAATTCGAAATTCAGAACTAATTAAAAAATGTTATTTCCAAGCCTAAAAGGTTATATGAAACCAACACCAAAGATATAATTTTTTAAGGTTTTTTTTTCCGATTATTCCTATGGGAGCTATAAGATATAGTTGTCCGATACGGCTGGTTTTGACTTATATACTACCTGCAAAAGAAATAAGACTTTTGGGAAAGTTTTAGCCTGATATCTTTAAAACTGAGAGACTAGTCTGCGTAGAAACGGACGGACAGACGGACATGGCTAGATCGACTCGTCTAGTCATGCTGATCAAGAATATATATACTTTATGGGGTCGGAAACGTCTCCTCTTTGCAAACTTTTGACTGAAATCATAATACCCTCTGCAAGGGTATAAAAAGCTCTTCAAAAACCCCACATGTAAAATGAAAGTAACGTGCAAGTAGACCAAGTTCTTACAAGTAATTTCTACATTTTCACTAAAAGCGCCACCTGCATGAATTTCCCCCTATTACTGGGAATACAGGCTTTTTATGGCAGCAGCCTTTCAACCAGCGTTCAATCTGTTTGAATTGGTTGAACGGTTTGGTAACGCCTTCTCAGGGAACTCCCCTTTTTGGTGCTCATGAAAGGGAGTGCCTGAGGGCGGGGGGCGTGATATTTTGGCGCCGCAGGAGTTTGGGTTCCGCCCGTAAGCCAGGCTTAAAACGCTCCTAAAGGAGGGGAAGTATTGAGTGGGGAGGGGGGGAGAACAAATCAACCGCGTGATGCGATGACAAGCTATTTTTTTGTTAATGCTGGCATTCAGGCACACAGTGTTCGCAAATCGCCCATTAATAATTTGAATTAGCTTTTTTTCCCAGGCAAACACTCGGCGGATCGAGTGAGACGGCGATAGCACCCACACTGGGATACGTAGGATCCGTGGGATACGCGGACCCACACACACACATACACGGAGGACGCATTAAATTCAATTAACAAGACATTGTAAATATTGTCACACCTTTCACAAAAGTCAACACGAGGCCAACACTCGAAACTTGTCGTTGTGTTGTTGCCACTTTATTCTTTGTGCATGCTGTGTTGCCGTTGTTGTTGTTGTTTTCGCTGGTGTTTGCATATGGATAAGGCG